TTCAATAAAAAAAAAAAAAACTATTGCTGCTACAACAGCCTTGGCCGGTTGGATACCATCACAGCATTGACTATTGGGGCTGGGGGGCTGGTCATCTTTGTTCCTGGAAGCCCCTTCTTGACAAGAGCCTGCTACTTCCTAACTCTGCCTGAGCTCCGGTTAGAAGAGACATCTTACCAACCCCTAGAGAATACAGCGGCAGAGCTTGACGAAGGGGGCTGGGGCTGGGAGGGCCTGGGCTTTGGCGGCCTCTGAGGAGGTAACGCTACATTAACATACTTATAAATCAAGTTCTATTTGATGACAACCTAGTTACAACCACTTATTTTCTTGACAACAGAATTAGTTTGCCTTCTGAGTTCTCACTTAGTCTAGGCTACATGCTGGAGGTGTCTCATTCAAGTCCTGGCTAGGCCTGGCCTTTCTCAGGATATTAGCTAACGTAAAATCAGCCATCTGAAAGTGAATTATAAAACCCTCAACTGGCATTTGTTTCTAGTTTCTACTGACATTATTGGGCCTCTGAATAAGTTTAAACACCAAGGAGCACTGGAAGTAAAGAACCTCTTTATATCTTTCCATATGACAGTCAGCCATAACAATCATCAGGAGAAGTCAAAAAGTCAAGATGGTGGTCACAACCATGTGGTCCCAACCTTGTTCTTTTAATCTATTTGGCACTAAAGGGGGACAAGGCTGCATGCAGCCATAGCCACTATTTTTAGTTTTCTGACCCATCCTACAGACACTACTGGACAATAAAGTTAATTAATCTTAAATACCAATAGCAATAGCACTTAGACTTGTATACCACTTCACAGTGCTTTACAACCCTCTGTAAGCAGTTTACAGAGTCAGCATATTGCCCCCAACAATCTGGGTCCTCATTTTACCCACCTCAAAAGGATGGAAGGCTGAATCAACCTTGAGCCAGTCAGGATCAAACTGCTGACAGTTAGCACAATTAGTCTGCAATATTGCATTTTAACCACTGTGCCACCAAGGTTCTTATTGGCACTTAATCAGCAAACCAATGGCTGAGTGGACTGATATGTTAATATTTACCAGTTAAAAAAATACCACCTATTTTCATTTATCTGTGAATGTTTCCAATAATCTAGTACAATGCTCAGGCCCTGGGTTCAGAATTGTGCCCCTGCTTATTGGAAACATCTCTTAATAATCATATCACTAATTCTAACTCTATCGATGGCTCCCTCCAGCAAAGATGAAGAGAAATAAATAGCAAAAAGCAGGAACACACACACATATAATACATTTTATAAATTTAAGTGTGTGTGTATACTTAAATTTATAAATATAAAAATCAATATTAGTTATAAAATATAACATATATAACCTATAACTTATATATATAAGGTGAGCAATCGTCCTCCTTTAGGGAGGACAGTCCTTTTTTAAGTTCTGTCCTCTCTCGAAAAGTGTCTTCCTACATGTCCTCCTTTTCGATATTTGAAGACTAATGTGTAAATCTCTGTATTCGATCAATGCCGATCCAATCCGTTGTGTGTGATGTGACGTATTTGTATTTGACATGACGATTCGTCAAGGCTCGGTACAGTGCGGCGAGACGCAATTATGAGACGCATGCACGCCACACAGAATTGTTTTGAGAGAGTGCACCGCGTGCAAGAGTGCGCCGCACGCAAGTGGCTTTGTTTACTTCTTACCGAAACACGACACGACAGACAGGCACGCATTAGACTCACTTCTTTCTCAGTGAATATTCAAGCATACACAGGTGAGCACAATAATTCACGTTTTATTAATTCAATATCTATTTAATAATTTCCAAATATGTATAATTTTATTTACAAGTTTATTTGCTTATGTTATTGTTTCAGTTTTAATAATTAATTTTATTTATTCATATTTTTTTCTTCAATTTATTTGTGTCCTCCTTCTCATTGTAAAAAAGTTGGTCACCTTATTATATAACTTCTTGAATACCTCATACCTTACAAATTTGACTACATATGTGTAGCACAGTATTATATGCTCCCTTTATTTATATACTTTTAATATTTTTATCCATGTATTCTATGGCATACGCTAAATAAATAAATAAATCCCCCCCCATCCATCCATTCTTGCAGCCACAACCCCCCCTCCCCCAGCTCGACCGCAGCCTCCACCTCGGCGTGGAAGGCCATTTTCCCACAGTGAAGATGGTGGCAGCCCCTTCCCCTAGACCCCCCCATGCCAACCCTCAAGATGGCTGCCCCACCCCCGCTTAAAAAGGGGAGGGGGAGGAGGGTGGGAGCGTCACTTTCCCATCAGCCCTTCGGCAGCTGCAATCCGGATTGCGGGCAGCGGTTTCGGGCAGGGGCGGGTCGGCTGCCCGCTAGGACTCCCAGGCTTTCCGAGGGCAGGGCAGGGCCGAGGCGATGGGCGCCAGGTCGCGGGGGGGATCCGGGGAGGGGGCGGGCTGTTGAACGGGGTCGCCGCGGGCGAGCCCTGCCGGACAGGAGTGCAGGGAAAGCGGGGAGACATGTGCAGCCGAGGCTTTATTGTGGAGTCCCGGCGGGGGAGCCTCGGCAGGGCGCTCCGCTGATTCGGAGGATGTCCTGGGCGAAAGAGGCGCTGGCCGGTTGCATCGGGGAGTTACGGGGCTGCGATGCCGCGGTAGAGAAATCGCTGGGCGGGTGCAGATAAAATGGGGGATTCGGGGTCTATTTGCCTGGTGGAGGGGTAGCGCGGCCGGCTTTGGAGGCAGAGCTAGATGGCCTCATGTGGGATGCTCCCCATTTAGGGAGGGGGGCGAGGGCTTCTTTTTCCTCTGCTGCAGTGGGGCTTGGGGGGGGGGAGAAGGCGGGTCAATTTCTGTTGTGCCAGAGGCCTTGGAGAAATAGTTTTAATTAGCTCAGAAGCAGCCGCTGTTAATTGGGGTGCGGTGGTTTTCGCCAGAGGACGACCTAGTAATAGAAGGATGCAGGGCAGAGGACTGAGTCCATCTGTAGTGGATCCTATTCAAGGCTTTTGTGGGTTAAAGGCTACGTGGGGTTTGTGGCTCTGTGGAAGATAATCCTCTCCGTTTAGGTGCCTGTGAACCATGCCAGCTTTGTCTGTGAAAAATTAAGGCTTTTCAAATTTAACTTTAAAATGAGAGCACCCCGTTATTTTTAATTCTTTTGTGTGGTGCTGATGTCTCATATAATGCTTCATGTTAATTTAAATGGAGTGGAGATTTTGTAGTTTACTCAATCTATTCTCTTAATTTTATCTGAATATTAAAGACACTATATTGATTCCTATGTAAATATATTACTCATATGATTGCATTGTATCTTGATGTTTTTCCGATGTAAGCTACCTTTGAGTAGCTGGTTAATTCTTTGATTGATTGTAAGCATAAAGTGATTTGTTATTGTTGAAAGTATCCCTCTTACTCCATTATGTTCAAACTGGGAAACATGAAAGACTTAATAATTGTTTCCCATTAATTATAACAATTTGATTGCAGAAAGTTTATTTGCATTCCTGAGATATTACTTTTCTTCTGAGAAAATATTGCTGTGGTGTGGAAGTGTGTGGGAAAGTAGCTGTGGATACTCTTGGGAGATACCAAGTTTGAATAGTAGACCTTAGGCTGAAAGATTTTGGGGTGGAACTACGAAAGAAATCCTGTTCCCTTGCAGGATCATCCGTGTGATTATTTAAAGGTCCTACTAAACTACTGAAATGGCAAGCATTCAACAGGGTAACTTTCTTTCATAAAGCATTGTTAAATACTGGAGCAAAACGTATCAGGTTTTTGTAGGAATAACATTCAACAAAGAGAGGGGTGGGTTTTTCCACCTTCAATGTTCCCTCAAGCCATGTCTGCTTTTGGGGATCTTCATGAATGGTATATGGGCGCTCTGAGTCGTCAAGAAGCAGCTGCATGTCTCCAGGGACACCGCCATGGGACCTTTCTGGTACGGGACAGTACTACGTGCCCTGGTGACTACGTCCTCTCCGTCAGTGAAAACTCCAAGGTGATTTTTGTATAATCTTAATATCTGGTGGGGGAAATGAAACATGCTTGTGGAGTGTAGAGATAGGGGCCAGGTAGAGGTCGTGAGCAGCAAACTGCCCTTCCAACTCCTGCGTGCCTCTTCTCTCTACATGATCTCATCCATTCACATCACCATGGCAATGTGGGAAACTACCCCAGGCTGGTACATGATATCACCTGGTTCACATGATATCAGCCAGGTTACATCAACAGGATGTGGTAGAAACTGCTCCCTGGCTGGGGCCTCCTAGCTGGTATATTCTTAAGGATTGGCAAGGGGTTTCACCAATAGAAATGCTGTTACTATGCTGATGCCATGTTACTTTATGCTATTTGGAATACCTGTATAAAAGGCAATAAACACTGCGAAGGCAGTCAGCCATATTTGCACCCTGCAATGACTGAGCACTGATTACTACAGTGGAGAGTTAGCAGGGAGTTGCTGATAGATTTAGAAGAGTGACTTTTAGGTGTTTGAACTTTAGTATCCAGAATACTTGGCACTGGGGGCATTCTGGGATTTGAAGTTCACTTACCTAGAGGGATGCATCCTATCTGGGCAAGGTTGATTGTTCTATCATGAAACTGATGAAGATTTGAGACAGCAGGGTTATGCTTCTTTGTCATTCTGTCTCTTTCAGGTGTCACACTACATTATAAACAGCCTCCCTGGGCGTCTACGGATTGGGGAGCAAGAATTTGATGGTTTTCCAGTGCTTTTAGACTTCTACCGCCTGCATTACCTGGACACTACCACCCTGGTAGCTCCCTTGGGACGCGTTGTAGCCCCTTCCTCTGCCCAGCCACCTCCTGCTGGCGAGTGGGTCCGTGCCCTCTATGACTTTGTTGGCCGTGACCAGGAAGACCTTCCCTTCACCAAAGGGGAGCCTTTGCGAGTTTTAGCCAAGCCAGAAGACCAGTGGTGGACAGCTCAACGTGCCGATGGGCGTGTGGGTATGATACCCGTGCCATATGTCCAGCCTTGTCCATATGCTCATCCCAGCAGCCATGGCGCCCCCCGACACGCTCCCGTAATAGCCAGAGCAGTCCAACGAAGGGTGCCTGGTGCCAGTGACAAAACAGCATTGGCCTTTGAGGCAAGTCACCAAAACAGTAAAAAATAAATGTTTTAAAAAGGGTCAGGATGATCTTGATCATGGAGGGTGGTGGGATGAATAAATATCTGGTTATTATGTCTGTATGTGAATGGGGATTTATCACTGGTAGTGGTGATGATATAGATTAATGATGAATCTTGAGCAATGCTTCTTTTGTTGCTAGGAGGCATGGAATTATGGCCTGCCTCTTTACCTTTAAAAGTTATAAGGTCAGGGAGAATACAAATTATGCTGATATGATTATTCATCAAAATGTTGAGTAGAGCAGCTTTGCTGGTGAAATAATCCAGGCTACAGACTTCTGACTATGCTCTTAAGGAGCCCATTGCAATTATCAAACTTTCCTAGGACTGAGGGATGTGCAGGGGAGGGAGCTTAAAAAATCATAATAAACTGAACATGCTTGGATTCTGGCATTCCTAGCAATCCAGTTCTTTCATGCCAGTATTTTTGCAAATTGGAAATATGCTGGCCTGGAACCTATTCCTCATTTGAGATGACCACTAAAAGAATATAAAAAGCTTCATCTGTCAGGTGTTGGGGAAAAGAGGTCATTTTTCACCAGCTTGATACCCAATAATTGTGGGAGTTGTTTGACCGTATGTTCCAGGAGTTATAATTCCAGCACAGAAGTTAGGAAAGGTTGAGATACTGGGAAAGTACAGAAAGGTGGTCAGTCTTCTGATCTTGGCTTTGTGTCTTGTGATATTCCACAGGTGGGTGATCTCATTGCAGTCACCAAGATGAATGTCAATGGCCAATGGGAGGGAGAGCTGAATGGGTGCTGTGGACACTTCCCCTTCACCCACGTCAAAGTCCTAGACTCTGAGGAAACCAGCTGAATACCCAGTGGAACACCCGAACTGCTGCTGACCCTCACAGGATCACAATGCTCTGAATTCTGGATTCCCTTTGAACTTCTTGAACTTTTTGATGTGAATGTTAAATTATGACCTCCTCAGTAGACTCTTGTGATGATCCAGCGGGATACGGGCGCTGTGACCATCTTCACCTCCTCGACTTAGGAAAGCTGCTCCTTGATAACATTATTCTTAAATGCTATTGTAGTTGATTTGATATACTTTGACTTTTCTGGGCTTGTTCCTTTTTGCTTCCTAAGAACTTTTACTGCTTTGGCCTTGTGATTTTCAATTATATGCCCTTGAATTTGCTTCATTTGCATCCTATGACCTATGAAACAAGAAGCTCTGAGCTTTCATGAAGAACCCCTTGCCTTCCTGTTTCCCTTGGGCCTTGCTTGCTTGGAGAGAAGTGGCCATGCTTGGCTTTGGCCAGATAAACAGAACTGTGCCACTTCTTGTAAGATCCCCGCTCAACTTGTTGTCTGTTCCAAAACTGCCTTGTTAATTAAAGTTTCCTGCTGATTATTTCTCAGCTGCTATGGACTTCTTCTGGGGAGGGGCTGGAGGATGGATTTGGGGAAAGAGTAACTGCTGCCATGGTAACTAGCATCACAACCCAGGCCTTGCAGGTTGCCATGGGGAACTGGATCACAGCCTATTGCTGGAGATAGGCTGAAGATTGCAGCAGTATGCACCACAGGTGTGGTTTGGGGCCTCTTGATCTCCACCTGTTGTTCCATCAAGCCTCCCTTTCCATGCGTAGGAACAGCTCCTCTGGCTCACTGGTGCAGTATTTTTCCTTACTAAATTATAAGCAAATGTACTGGGGCTTGTGACCTCTGCTTAGCTCTTTTCTCCCCATATAATCTCAGCTTCCCTGTATTGATTTATTTTGTGACAATATACATGGTGTAGTATATTCAAAATCCAGTGTCCTAAAAGAAACCTTCCCAATCTGTATCACAATTCTCAAAATGACTGCAGTGATCCTTCCGTGTACATGGCTGGGGGACGGTTGTGTCATGTGCAATTAATATTTAGAAACTAGATTGATAACGGTGCATTGTAATAGATTGTCAATTACTTTGAAACAATCCAGAGACAATGCATAAATACATGTTAGGTTAGGGGATGGGGGCAGTTTAATGTGATAGGCAGGTTTTTTTTTCTGAATTCCTCTAGGTATTTAAAAATGTAAGCAGGTGGCAGGCAATTTTTGTGGCTGAGATAGGCTTCTAATATTTGGAAGAGGCCCAAGAGCCCACTACAGGTGTACATTTAATACTCCTGTATTTTCTGGCTCACAATGATAGAAAACCTCATTCTAAGAGTCATAAAATGCTCCTGAAATGTATACAATTCTGATAACCACAAGTTACCCACCTCTATTATATACCGTGTTTCCCCGAAAATAAGACCGGATCTTATATTAATTTTTGCTCCAAAAGACGCAGTAGGGCTTATTTTCAGGGAAATACGGTACTAAATGGGGCTGGCTGACAATCTTAACTGGGGCTTATTTTTGGGGTAGGGCTTATATTACAAGCATCCTGAAAAATCATGCTAGAGCTTATTTTCCAGTTGGGTCTTATTTTGGGGAAAACACGATATACTGTATATTAGAATCTTTGAAGCATACATTCTGGGCAAAAGCCTCAAGGTTTTCAAAGTTTTTAAAACATTCTTGCCGTTATTCTTATGTTAAGCCAACATTTCTATTCTTTGTCCACAATCTAATTCTCTGGAACAAGTGGGAATGAATCTGATCCTAATCATCTTCAGGATAACTCTTTAACATTTGATCACCACTGTTGGCTCTATCCTTAATAATATGCATCTCTGAGATCTTTCTACTTCACATTTTGACTGTAGATCCCAGAATTTTGTAAAGCTTTCCAGACCATGTGGCTATGTTAAATTTTTGCAGCAAATTTTTGCAGCAAATAAATAAAGGCTAGTTTTGTGTGTTGGAAACACAAACTTGCCAAGGATATGTTGGCCTATTAATCTAGATACAGTATTCTTAAGACAAATCAATGCAGGCTTAGTGTTATCAAAGGCTGGGTTTACTCATCATATTCCATTGTTCCACCCATTTGGGTTAATATGCAGTGCTAAATCATACACTATGATTTACCAATCACAATGACTTGCACATAGCACTAACCTATACTGTGATTTTGTTTGCTTTGAGATTAGTGTGATGTATAAATCCCCCATTTATGGAGTCTGGCTTGGTGAGTTGTGTAAAAAATACCTGTGAGAATTTAAAACATGACCAGATTATCACAACAGCTCCTGTAGGCTATGATTTATTCATCCAACAGATCAATAAGGTGAAAACTTTATAGATGATCATATGGAAGTCCCTACAACCTTTCTGTGGCTAAATTGACCAGCCACAGGGAAATATTTTGCTCATGTTTACACTTGCCTCACCCAGAGATCTGCTTATGCAATGTAAAATGAGAGCACTTTTTTCTTCCTTCTGGCAAACATTGCAGGGTGCATTTCTGTCCACCTCATGCTAATGAAATGTTTGCGAAAAACCATTCATCTGATTTATAACAGCTGTAGTGCAGCCATTTCCTTCTCTCTTAATTACAGGGTGGGGAAGAATATGTATGTCTGATTTCTAGTTCTTATTAATAGCTGGGATCATGCAAAAGCATGGTTTGTTTTAATACATTAATCCTCTACTTACAACTATTCATTTAGCGACTGTTATACAATAGCACTGAAAAAAAGTGACTTACGACCAGTACTCACACAACAAGTGCATCCCCATTGTGATCAAAATTCTGGTTTTTGTTCAACCAGCATGTATTTATGACTCCTGGAGTATCCTGTGGCCATGTGATCACCATTTGCAATTTTCCCAGGCAGCTTCTGACAAGCAAAGTCTGTGGGGGATGATGGACTTGCTTAACGACTGCATGATTCAAGTAACAACTGCAGTGATTCGCTTAACAACAGTGGCAAAAAGGTGGTAAAATTGGGCATAACTCACTTAACAACCACCTCATTTAGCAAGGGAAATTCTGGTCCCAGTTCTGACCTTAAGGACTTTCTGTCAAAAGCTTGTTGGATAGCCATTCCAGTCAGATTCAGATAGAACAGTGGTTCTCAACCTGTGGGTCGGGACCCCATTTGGGGTCGATCGACCATTTCACGGGGGTTGCCAAGCAAGGCTGTCTGCCATTTTTTTGTCCGCCATTTTTTCCCCCTTTTCCGGCGGGTGCCTTACCTCCCTTGGGCTGGGCCAGCTGGTGGTCGGCCTGCTCCGTCTCTGCCGCTTGCCAGCTACGCCTCGGCCGGCGCAGGGGGCGGAACCACGCATGCGTGGCGCTCCCGGGCAGGGAAAGTCCTCGACTTACAACCGGTTGGGTAGTCCTTGACTTACGACCGGTTTAGTCCTCGACTTACGACCGGTTGGGGTCACGGCATTAAAAAGGTTGAGAACTACTGAGATAGAATCTAACACACATGGCTGATTAATTACAAGTGCTGGATTCATACAGTGTCCTATGCTGAAAATAAATTGTTCACTTAGTGGCTTAGTGCAAGGAGCAAACTCTGATAAAATTAGTTTATGACTTATACTACATGACATTCTGTGGTCTAATTGCATAACAGCTTTATCAGAACTGCACAAGACTGTGCAAACTTTTCAGTTCCCTGGAGCTTTTTCCCCAAGAGACACTGGTGCAAATTTGAGGAATGAGAGGAGAAATTGATGCATTCAGAGATGAGTAAGGAGTAGCAATGTCCAAAAATAAGACCAGGTCATGCCTGTTGCTTAATATGTCTCTGGAGAAGCCTTAATTTATGGAAGGGACTAGAGATCTGGAAGAGTGTCTAAATTTCCGGCAGCCCTTAATGTTGTAAGGTAAGCTGTCCAGAGTCACCTTGTGGCGAGATCAAGTGGCAAACAAATTTAATAAATAAAGCCTTATCCTCAGTACTGAAATCAAAAAGTGAATCTCTGATCTGTTTCCTGTCCGCCAGTGAAGATTTGTCTTCCTATTTTTGCTTTCCCATTCTTTGGGCCTACAGAGGGAAAAAACGTACTCTGATTCTTTCCGCTTGCCCTTCTTGTGTTGCAGTTGGCAACCTTGACCCATTTAACTCTCCGGTGGTTTAAAAATGCTGTTCCTCCCAGAGGACAGTAGGTGGCATTGACAACCTTGACATCCTGGGCCCAGGAGCAGAAACTGAAATCCAGCAGTAATCCAAGTGAGATACCCGGAGAAGGAGATTTGGTAAGAGAGGGTGGTGCCTTCATAGCGGAAGGTTTTTGCAGATGGCAAGGAGGGGAAGGGGAAGGGAGTATCTGCTAACCAAATATCTCTGCATGGGGGGGTGGCTTAGAGGGGTCCAAGTAGGAAGGGGTCTGAAGAACAGAAAGTGTGTTGCAACTGAGCGATGCCCCCTTGGTGGGGGGTTGGCTGGCCCTCTCTCTCCCCCCCTCACCTCGTGACCCTCTCGCTCTTCCTTGCTCTGCAAGGAATGTCAAGAGCCTCGTGTTTCACCTGCTCAGGTCCCGGGGTCTATATTTAGCCTGCTTGACAAAAGGTCAGGGGTTGGGGAGAAGGTTAGCCCAGCCCCGCCCAGTGACTGCTCCCTCTTTTTATAGCCCTCCTCCAGTCTTTGCCTCTTGCCAGTCAGCAAGCGCCCTCCGGAGCTGCCGTGTCTCGCCAGAGCCCCCTGCTGTACCCACGGTATGGGGGGGGGGCGCAAAAGTTTGGGGGGCGGGGGAGCCAGGATTTCACACTATAGCTTTAGAGGAGAGCAAGGTTGGTGAGAGCAGAGACTGGCAAGAGAGAAATCAGCTTTGTGTCGGCATTTTTCTCCATAGGAATGAGCCGGGGGTGGGGAGAGATGGGGGTAGGTTGCAATCGGGGTCCTGGGAGGGTGTTAAATCACAATGGCTGTGCTGGAAAAATAGTGTCATTGAATAGGTTAGCTGCAGATTCACTGTGCAAGTAAGTTCTTCCCAGCTCAAAACTATCCATCTCTTATTTTGATTATTTTTTTAACAGGGCCCTAAAATGGAGAGGGGTTTTTTCCCCGTTATTTTTTGACAGCCATAGCTCCCTTTCAGTCCTCTTCTAGGCCATTCATCCATCCTTCCCTTCAGGGATTTTAGATACAGTACTTTTGCATTCCTGTGCTTCTGTGTGTATGTGTATGTGCTGTCTATTTGAGAAGATTTAAGTTCCAGTCCTGTTTGGAATTGGGTTTCTCTGCTCCGATTGGGCCCAGAAGTTTATTGTTAGTGTCTCACACCATGCATAAGACAGTTGTTTCTTCCTTTTGACTGGTATGACTTGCAAAAAGTACAAGTAACTGGTTGCTGGTTTGAGGAAGCGTTGCTCACACAATTTCCTGCTCTGCAGACCATAAATGTTTGCGTCTCAGTGTTTTCTCTGCATTCTTGTGAGGTATCTAATCTTTTTGTCTGTAAATGTGTCTCTTGCAACCTAAGTCAACAAATTTATATCCATGCTGCTATTTTGCATTTTCTCTTTTTTTCCTTGCTCCTAAACATCTTCCATCCTTTTGCCTGGATGGTAGGATGGTTTCCATGTGTAATAATTTATATTGCTCCTTGTAGAGCATCTGTAACTCATTTGCAAAAAAAAAATATGGCTGAACATGCACCATTGGAATAGATAAAGATAATTGATTTCACACTCTAAGTATGTCCATGCCTCAGTCCAACCCATTAAATGCAATGGATATTTTCATTTTTTTTTAAATCTGCCCATGGCTTTCTATCCTGCATTAAAATCCATTAATGTTCCAGACTAAATATATTTTTATATCACTTGTGAAAACGATTCATAAAAATGTGAGAAAGGCTGTCTACATTTTTGGCTTACTAACTAAACCATTGGTTTGTTAAATCTTTGTTATGTTAAAGACTTTGCAGTAGATCCTTGTAAATGATCTATGTTGCTTTTATTGGCTTTACTGAGGCATGAAAATCAGGAGTAGTTTTGAATAACTTTCACAGGTAACTCCTTTCTTCAGTTATCCTTGAGTCCCTGTCACAATCTTGGAGTAAAACTCTGTATTATAGTTTGTTGCAAGACAATCTTACAGAAACTCAAAAACTTTATTGTTTTACATGTTACATGTGTCTGAGTCCTTTTCATCCAAATGATAAAACTGCTTTGATTTCATGAATGTGATGTTCTTACCAGTCTCCAGAGAAGCTTTTTAAACTGAAGATGAATGCACTGAATTGAAAATTTATCTGTTACCCCCACCCCCAGTGTGCTCACTCTGAAGCTCCCCCCCCCTTTATTGAAGCACTGGGGAACTCAGCTGTTCACACTCTTGCTTAAGCCAAGCTATGAAAGGAACTTTGGGGACTGGAAACAGTGTGTCAAGTTATTAGGTTTCATAAATCCTGAAACCGATCAGAAAATATTACAGCATTGTGGGTTGGCCTAACTGCTGGCCTCTCCATCTTGCATCTACAATATTACATGTCTGATCTACAGAAATCCCTAAAATGGATAAGAATAATTGCATGCAATATAATTATCTTTCAGATTTAAAGATAGAGATGCCATTGTAGGGCAAAGCATCCCTGGAGCAGTTGTCTCCAAGAGTTGCATCTGTTCTTCAGAAATTATCCTTTAGTTTTGACAGGGCTATAGAAAGGACCATAAGTGGCAGGGGGGGAAGGAGGGGGCTCCCCACTCTGTCGCTTGCTTGCTACCTGAGATCCTGCAGAGAGCCTGTGACTCAGCAGTTACCGTAACCATCCCAAAAGAAGCCCCTGTGGATTCAGCCTGGCTTAGGCTATCATTAAAGGTTTTAGGCAGGGCTTAGGAAATTCAGGCAAAACTAGTGAGATGCTGTTATACTGAGAGCAGAGGGACCTGGCCACCTCAAACAGTGCTGCCTCTCTCGCCTTGGAGGCAAGTATTTCTCAACCTTAGCAATTTTCAGATGTGTCTCAATCTGAAAGTTGCTAAGGTTGAGAAACACTGGCTTAGGCACTGGGGCATCAGATAACTCACTAGGAGTGCTGCTTCCCACCTTGGCAAATGCCTCTTTACATTACCTTATCTTCCATTTGTTGTTTCCTTTAACAACTGAACTCACTCCAGAAGAATAGGCAGCACTCTGTTGCAAGACTACTCAACAGTTGTTCCTTGATATTAACATTCTGCCTGGAAACTTCTAGGGATATCTGCATTTATGTATGATCCTTACTCAGTAATTAGTAGGCCTTTCTACTGAATGTTTCACTGAATTTCCAGTAAGCAAACTGGGAAGATGCATTAGAGTCACGAGTGTGATTCTGTTCATGTCATTAAGAAATGGATTGCAATTAAGACTTATTTAGGTACAACCAAAATCTCCCTCCCCAACACACCTGGCTCCTAAAATGGGTGGTTTAATTTCAAATAAGTTTGTTTTTGCTTTTGAGTAAGCAGAAAGTGTTTTGCCACTCACTTGGGTCTATTTCTTCAACCAATAAACATAGGTTTTGTGAAGAAACTGATTCAGATTAAGATACTGAACAAACTCAGATGTGTTCCTTTTTAAAATACTATTTAAAGCTCAGTAGATTAGATTGGTTGTGTTAACCAGTCATGGACTATGGTCATAGAATTGTAATGTTTTGTGGAATTAACATATTGTCTTCATACCACATAGTAATAATTAACTACAGGAGTTGAATTGGTGCAACCCAGGAAGCCAGTTCATTGTGTTGTATGAACACAGCCTGGGAATAACTACTATATCTCTACTCCTTCACTTGCCAGCCCTAGGTTCTTGGAATTAACACTGCTAGACTGGCACAGGACAATGCCACTTAAGCTTATGTTATTTAAAAAAAGCCTAATTCTATGGTCTCCAGCTGCTGAGCCACTGACTCCTTGCACTAAAGCAGTGTTTTTCAATCTTGGCAAGTTTAAGTCAGGTGGATTTCAACTCCCAGAATTCCCCAGCCAAAAAAATTCCTGTTAAGAATCCCTCCATCTGACCTTGCCCCTATCTATAATGTTGATCCTGAAGATAAAAACAAGCATGCAGGACTAGGCCAAAGGCTTGTCTAACCCAGCATCTACTCCCATTGTGGCTCTTCCATACCAGAGGAAGGTTAACAAACAGGACAGGGGGCAGTCATCTCCCACCCATCTTCCCTAGCCACTGCCGCTAAGGAATCTACACTGGCAGCCTTTGCTATGTTTTGTGTCAGGAAGTTCCCCTACTTAGGGGCTCTTTGGAACACCTAGTGATTCCAAACTGAGCCACCTCAAGTGCTTCAGCTTGCAAGGCTTGGGCAGATGTGGCAGGCACCCAAAGTCCTGGGATTTTTCCACCTGGTCTATTAATTTAAGGCCTCTTTTCTTCATCCTCCTGCTTCCCTCTTATCACTTCCATGGCATTTTGCTATCTTTCAGTCCATATATGCCCAGGGCATTCTTTTTGGTAGCTGAGATCCAGCGCTCATGGGCCCAGGGTGGGGTAGGGCGAGATCCAGAAATAGTAATGTGTCCTTCAGGAAAGGACAGAAGAGCTGAAGGAGGAGTGATCAGGTTTCCCCTTGAAAGGTCAGTACTGAAACTGAAGTTGGAGAGGATGTTAAGGAGAAGGGGGGGGGAAACCCTACGGAGCCACCCATTTGATGTAACTTCAGCAGTTACTGTGTATGGAGATTCTAACCCAGGCTTCCCTTGCCTTTAAATTGCCATTAGAATACCACATTTTATTGTGTAATTTTACTGCTTAGAATATCCAGCAGCAGCCTTTTTTTTTTTTTTTTGCACAATCACGGCCAAGCCATGCGAATTATACCGTCCTTTTCCCGGGCGCGACTCAGCAGAGCCTTCCGCCCACGTTACGCTTCGTTTCCTTGTGTGTGTGTGTCTTTTAAATACTTTGTAGTGATGCGAAGAAAGAACTCGGGCCCTTTAAGTCTCTTCCCTCCCCCAACCCTAATGAGAACTTCTCACCCTTTTCCGCCTAAGTTACGTGACGTTCGATTTTGGAACGGTGGGGCTCTCTGCGTTCGATTCGAGCTCCTCACTCGGGTTTCGGGCGCCCTCGCTGTCTGTAGCTGCTGCTGCTGCTGCTGCTGTTTCCCCGCGCAAACGCTTTAGTACTTTTCCGAAGGAGGAGAGCGGTGAGCCATCTTGATTTGGGGGGGGAGGGGAATCTTGTTTTGGAGAGGTAATATTTGTGAAGGGAGGGAAAAGAAACCACTTGGGGAGGGGGAGCAGGAGATGAAGTCACGTGGCGAAGTTTAATCTGTAACTGTTGCGCCAGAGAATTCAGGGATGTGAGATTTTGCCTTTCTTCTTCCTTCCAGTGTAATTCCCACTCTTAAAAGTTCTGGTTTCGCGCCCCAACCTCGTTTTCTAAGTTAATGCTTTTTTCCTTTTTTTAAAAAAAATCTACAGTAGTTTGCAGAACGAAAGATATGAGACTAGGTGAAAGAGAGGCTGTACCAGAACATTGGGGGTTAGGGAAGCTGAAAATGAGAATAAAATATTTCCTTGTCCTTGAAATGTCCTTGGCTGGGTTAATTTGTTCCCTTTACAGGAACACTGGATGTTCTTGCTTTAAATTAGGGGCCTCCTTTTAACCTGAATGGAAATCCTCTAATCTCTATGGTAACATATTCTCTGTCTCTGTAGAAACATTGGGTGGTTCATCAGGGATAGATGTGTGGTTGTGTCGCAGTGGGAAGGAACAAGGAGACCTGGTTCATAAATGGCCAGTCATGTAAACCATCACAGTAGTTGGAGCCGAAATCGTGGCTCAGGATGAATATATTCTTAGCCTTCTTTCCCTAATTAGGAAACCCTTCAGATGTATCGCACTAAGATTGTTATCCTGGGCTTCTGCTGGCTAACAATGATAGGGTTGCATTCCAACCTACCTGTAACGTCTCAGAATTGGGAAGGACAAGATTAAGGCTCCCCTGAGCATGTACCTAGTGCAGGAATTGATAAAGCACAGAAAATCTTTGTTTCCCACCCCCAATGTATTTTGTGTCATGATTTGGGGCTTAAAACTGTTGTTATTGCTATGCTTTTGGGAATTCAGAAGAGCATGTGGGTCCCCCTGCTGATCCGCCCTCTCAGCCAAAGGATCTTTGTTGCCAAGCCATTAACACTTCCTGGCCTTCTCTAGTTTAGCCATCCAAGATGCCTCACCAATACCCAGCCTTGACTCCAGAGCAGAAGAAGGAGCTGTCAGAAAATGCTCTCCGCATTGTGGCAGCCGGCAAAGGCATCCTAGCAGCTGATGAATCTACTGGTAAGAGCCAAAGAGGCACATTGAGAGGCGTTGGGCTGGGGAGGCAGTGGGGAAAAATGGGGGGGGAGAGACAGGACTTTAAAAGGCCTACAGGTCTTGAATTGAGCATTTGACACAAATTTCTGCTTTGTCTTTTTGCCTCTTAGGCAGCATTGCCAAACGCCTGCAGTCCATTGGCACCGAAAACACAGAAGAAAACCGCCGCTTCTATAGGCAACTGCTCTTCACCGCAGATGCCCGCATCAACCCTTGCATCGGTGGTGTGATCCTCTTCCATGAGACCATGTACCAAAAAGCTGATGATGGGCATCTCTTCACAAAGGTCATTAAGGACAAAGGTGCCCTGGTTGGCATCAAGGTAAGCATCTCATGGGTTTTAATTAGGGGGTTTGCAAAACCCAAAATTGTGAGAATGGAATGGTGTGAACAAATCTGGAACAGAATGCAAGGAACGGAACATTTGATTTCACCCATACCTAATTTTCTTTTACTAAATCGTATAAGAAAAATGCTGATGGATGCTAATAATATTCATTGTCGCCATTGAACTCTTTGGATGGAGCTGATCCAAGATATATGAGGCCATTGGATTGAATAAAGTGGGTTTTAGATAGTCTCTCTCATAACATATGTAGATATTGTCTCTGAAGAAGCATTCTATGTAGGAAGACAGGATATGCCATGTCCTCGGCGATTTGCACCTTTTATGACTAACTGTACCGAACATAATTCTTTTTTTCCAGTTTAGTGATGAACAGGAAGCTTTTTGGATATTAAACACTGGAATCTCTTTAATGTGCTTAATGGGGGGACCAACAAGGGAGGAGAGAAATGGTGGCTACAGAGTTTTGCTTTTGAAACAGGAGATTGACAACCATAACAAAATATTCAAGAGTGGTGCCTTTATAATTTTTTCATTTGGATCGGCTATTGTTTCCTAATCCTACATTCAGGTAATTTGTTAGATTAGAATTTCAAGGGTTTGTGTACTTTCTGAAAGTTAAGCGAACACCGCTGTCTATAAGCGAACCAATAGTCCTCTATTGGCATGGTTTTGCCGAAAACCGGAAGTAACTAAAATGGGTTACAGGACTGGAGGACACTGCAAACAGCTGTAAATATGGCCATAAATGTGTCCAGCTGGTGCTAAGCACCCTAAATTTGGTCATATAACTGCAGAACTTCAAATCTGGGGTCGTAAGCCCCAAAGTAGATCTGTCGTAAATTTGAACGGCTGCTAAGTCACAAGTTGTACGTTGAGGACTACGTATATGAGAAGTACCAGGACCTTAGACTCCCAGAGCTCTGGTAGAGGACCCAAGACTGAGGAAGACACAGACCACTGATAAGGACGAAAAGGGAATGTTTATATTTTTGCCCTAATCACTATTGGAAACTAGGGGTGTATTGATGAAAATGGAGCGATCAGTCATTGGTTTGACAGATATTCCTCCTTTCTTCCCTCTGTGCAGGTTGACAAAGGTGTTGTGCCTCTTGCTGGGACTAATGGAGAGACCACCACCCAGGGTGAGCAAATATGTGTGAGCCGATTATGAGAGGTGGCCAACATTATGGACTATAAACCTGGATTCATGTAGCAATGGAAGGTTCAGGTTGAGGCGTTCAAAGAAGTTTATTCTTATAATCTCTTCCTAACTTTGTAGGTCTGGATGGCTTGTCTGAACGCTGTGCCCAGTACAAGAAGGATGGTGCTGACTTTGCCAAGTGGCGCTGTGTCTTGAAGATCACTCCCACCACCCCTTCCTACCTGGCCATCATTGAGAATGCCAATGTGCTTGCTCGTTATGCCAGCATCTGCCAGCAGGTGGGTGCACAGTGACATTAGGAGAGGAATTCTGGCTGTCGTTGGATAGTAATAATAATACAATTGGAAGGGACCTTGGAGGTCATCTAGTCCAACCCCCTGCTCAAGCAGGAAACCCTATACCATTTCAGACAAATTGAGCGTCCGGTCTCTTCTTAAAAACTTCCAGTGTTGGAGCATTCACAGCTTCTGGAGGCAGGTTGTTCCACTGATTAATTGTTCTGTCAGAAAATTTCTCCTTAGTTCTAGGTTGCTTCTCTCTTTGGTTAGTTTCCATCTGTTGCTTCTTGTCCTGCCTTCAGGCGCTTTGGAAAATAGCTTGACTCCCTCTTCTTGGTGGCAGCCCCTGAGATTTTGGAAGACTGCTATCATGTCCCCCCTCGTCCTTCTCTTCATTAAACTAGACATACCCAATTCCAGCAACCGTTCCTTATATGTTTTAGCCTCCAGTCCCCTGATCATCTTTGTTGCTCTTCTCTGTACTCTTTCTAGAGTCTCAACATCTTTTTTACATTGTGGTGACCAAAACTGGATGCCGTATTCCAAGTGTGGCCTTACCAAGGCATTGTAAAGTGGTATTAATACTTCATGTGATCTTGATTCTATCCCTCTTTTGATGCAGCCTAGCACTGTGTTGGCTTTTTTGGCCCCTTTTTTTTGCCTCAGCAATGATCGATGTACCCAGTGATATTTAGTGGACAGAAAGCATCATGATGGAACAAATGCAATTCATGGAACAGCCAAAGTTTGATCTCTCCTTAAAAATTCTTAGCTGGCTGGGTTGGGAGACAAGCTGGGTTTCAGTTAGCTCGATACAGCTGTGTGGAGCAGAGCTCCTTAATGTCATTCAGCTGCCAAGTATGTCTCAAGAGGGCGGTGTTGAAATAGCTGTTTTGTGGTCTATCAACAGAAATAGTTCTGGGCAATTTTGCAAGGACCTTTTTCAATGTCCTTATTTTTCTGGTGGCTGGAGTTAGATATGTGATTGTAAATTTTCCCTGGGGCATACTTCAATAAACATCCCCAAATATGCTTCACCACTTGCAATTTCACAGACAGCACAGATAAAGTGTAAAGGAATAAGAGTTTGGGGTGGTTTTCTCCTGAAAATAGAGGTTGTTTATGGCAGGGGTTAAAATCTGTAAACCCCACATTTCAGATTTCTCTAAAAATTGCCATTTATCTATAATTTTAATATGAAGAAGAGAAAAGGGAACCCAAAGGGAATAATCATATTAGCTTTACTTATTAACTTTATATTCTACCTTTTTGCTTGGGCAAGAACTAAGGGAGCTAAGAAAATGAAAAACTGTTAATTTGAAAATTCGATGTATAATTAAAAGCTAGGTAGTCCTCAACTTATCACCATAGTAGAGTCTCGCTCCATTGTTGTAACTTGTGGTAGTTATAAAACAAGATGGATCACCTAATTTTATGGCCTTTTTTGCCATGGTTTAAAAAGCTGGTGATTTTCTAAACAACGGGATGGGGGATGGGCAAACAAGTTTCTCAAGAGCAATGTGGCTGGGGTCTCTCCAACAAAGGGGACACAAAGGAGCAGCATGAAGTTCTTAATGGCCAATGGATTTGTGTGAAGAAGAGGGACGTATTTCAGGCAGGGAAGCCCTCAGCCACTTAGGATTAATACCAGCACCTTAAAAAGTACTTAGGAGGCATCTGGCAATTGGTGTAGTGCTGCACACTATTCCAAAGTTGAATACAGCCTGTGACCTGAAAAGAGGCTGCACTGGTTTCTGAAATGGGATTTTTTTAAAAAAAAAATGCATTATCAATTTGGGGTTCTAATCATTATAATGCCTCTCCTTTCCTGAACTGCAGAATGGAATTGTTCCTATTGTGGAACCAGAAATCCTTCCTGATGGTGACCATGACCTCAAACGCTGCCAGTATGTGACAGAGAAGGTGAGGATGTGGAAGGGGGCTCCTCCACTGACCTCAGTGGTGTACAGTGGGTACAGGTGGAAAAGCCTTTTGCATGCCTTGTAACTGGAAAAGGAGGCTCCTAATGCAACTGAGAATTCTTTTGACAATAGAAATCTTACAAATTATTTCTTGCCTTGATTCACTCTATGGACAGGTTCTGGCTGCTGTGTACAAGGCCTTAAGTGACCATCATATCTACCTGGAGGGGGCCCTGCTCAAACCAAACATGGTGACCCCCGGCCATGCCTGTACTACCAAATACGCGCCTGAAGAAATTGCTTTTGCCACCGTGACTGCCCTGCGCCGCACCGTCCCTCCAGCACTGCCTGGTAAGAAAAATCAAACTTCTAACACCCCAATTTTCTCCCTGCTTCTAATCCCAAAGTGGGTCATGTAGACACATGCACAGCCATAGAAGATTACTTGTGTGCATTTGGGCTTCTCTGTGCATTTTGTAATAACAAAAGTTATTAATATATTTTTTCATTCTGAGGTTCTTCAGTTATTTGGGTCTGTGGGGGCTGGAACTTTGGGAATTATAGATCCTACACATCCAGTTGGAGAAAACTGACCTGTGAGATTATTGATATACCATGTTTGCTATTGGAGTCGTATAAAATTCCCCCCCTTGAGGACTCCCCCATTTTGTAAGTGTAGACAAGGTGCACCCCACCTATATAACTGGAACCATTTTCTTGAAGGATCAGGGTAGAGTGAAGATAGAAAGAATGCAAGAATCCTTGAATTTCTCTCCTGGATTTCTCAATGTTGAATTTCCCCATAAAAACACTTCCTTCTTCTTAAAGCTATTTTCCATAGACCTTAAATCCATGTTTAGTTCTGCCTGGCCTACTCACATTCTTCCTGTGGTCACAGGCATCACTTTCCTGTCTGGAGGTCAGAGTGAGGAAGAGGCTTCCATCAATTTGAATGCCATCAATAAGTGCCCTCTGCACAAGCCATGGGTCTTGACCTTCTCTTATGGCCGTGCCCTCCAAGCTTCGGCCCTCAAGGCCTGGAGCGGCAAGAAAGAAAACTTGAAGAACGCCCAGGAGGAATACGTCAAGCGTGCTTTGGTATGTTACATCTAATAGGGTTTAGCAAGGGGTTATAATTGTGGAAAAGTACATGTGTAATCCACGAAAGAGTTTAAATAGCCAGTTTCCCCAAAAGTTAAGCATGTAGAGTTTTAGACATACTTTTTAATTAAGATGAGGCAAGAAGATTAAGTGAAAAAGCAGAATGGTGAAGCAACTTTAGTGGGAATGATTTGTGATGTTGCATTTCACAAGAGTCCACCTGGTGGCGCAGTGGTTAGAATGCAGCATTGCAGGCAAACTCTGCTCACAGCCTGGAGTTTGATCCTGGCTCTTGGGGGGCAATATGCAAATAATGCTGATGATATAAACAGCCCAGAGAGTGCTGTAAAGCATTATGGGGCAGTATATAAGTCTGAGTGCTATTTCTATATCATGCTGGTGGGTCACACTTACCCAGGAGCCTTTTCGGGGAAAGAGATTGAAAGTGGGAGGAGAGGTCTTGTATTTGCCAGCAATTCTGCCACAAAAGAGATTCCTTGCAGTTCTTTGTCTCCTTCAACAAGAGAAAGGACTTTGATAGCTGCCCTCAGTTTCTGCTGTGGCTGTCCCTGAGCTCAATAAGGCAGGGAAAGCGAAGTGATGTGCTGTTTCTGTTTTTGACCTGGGACAGGTCCTACTCCTCTCACAATGACTTTTTCCTCCTTACAGGCCAACAGCCTTGCCTGCCAAGGTAAATACGTTTCATCTGGCCAAATGGGAGCAGTTGCCAGCGAGTCTCTCTTCGTTTCCAACCATGCTTATTAAAAACCAGAGGCTTGGTTACATTGTTTGCTCTCTTGTTGCTATATTGTTCCTGGGCTACTGTGATGTCTGCTGACTGTTTTCCCCTGTCCCCCTCCTCCCCTCACCTGTCCCTTTTGCCAGCTTTCCTTGTAAGAGAAAGGTGTAAATCTTTGTCTTGCTGTGAAAAACCTAGAAGTTCTGGCTTACTCCTCTCACACATCCCCATTTTTGTATGTGAAATCCAGCTTCTGGTGAACGACACTCCCAGTCTGCGGCCAAAACATCAAAATGTCTCCGTAGCAGGGACGTCTGACTCGCAGACCTTGAAATAAAAATCTATTTAAACATTGCAAGTGCCTCTTTTTCTTGTCCCTCTGCAGAACTTGAGCAAAGTGATTGCTTTTTCCAGTTAACAAAAAAAAATACCTGCCATTAGGTGGAAGGACAATTTAGAACCATTTGATTAATGACAATTTGAAATTACAATGGTACCGAAAAAAGTGAGTTGCAACCTGTCCTCACGCATGCAACCTGTCATGGTAGCCCCACAGTCACATGATCAAAATTTGAGTGCTCGGCAACTGGCATGTATTTACCAGGTTGCAGCATCCGTGTGTGTGTGTGTGTGTGTGTGTGTGAGTGACATGATCGCCATTTCTGACCTTCCCAGCTTGCTTCCAGCACACAGTCAATAGGGGAAGCTAGATTCGTTTAACAACTGCATGATTCGGTTAACGATGCAGTGATTCACTTAACAGCCATAGCAAAAAAGGTCATAAAATTGGATGCGACTTACTTAACTGCCTTGCTTAACAAGGGAAATTCTGGTCCAAATTGTTATTTCTCTATCCCCCCCCTCCCCCCGTGAATTTCATTTCAGCTTTTGAAACAGCCTCTTGTTTGAGTTCCAAGGCACAAGACATTCTGAAGCTATTACCATCCTCCAGTGGACCCCCCTTGTGTCCTTGTGGGATGGTGCTGCCAGAGCGAGTGATGGGAGGTGCTGCAGGCACAGGGTAGAATGGAAATGGCGGATCCTTCTGCTTCGGTAATTAGTCATTTTGGCCATCTGCTAAGTCAGCTTCAAGCTTAGTAAGGCACCCTGAATTTAGACTTCTCAGAATCCGGGCTGGAAGGGACCTTGTGGGTCTTCTAAAAGCAGGAGTCCTTATCCCAGAAAAATGGATGTCTAATCTTTTCCTGAAAATCTCCTGCAATGGAGCACCCACAACTCCTCCAGGAGGCAAGCTGTTCATTGATTAATTGTTCTGTCAGGAAATTCCTCACTTCTCAACCAGCAACCTGGGAATTTATAGTCCTAGCATTAAAATTAGGGGAAGGCTAATCCTAAATTCTGCCAGAGAAGAGCTCCCTTTAGCTCTGGTAAATCAGTAGTTCATTTAGCCCCTCATGATCAAAGATCTAGGTGTTTTTTCTTTTTCCTGTTGTGTGAAAGTTTCAAAGAGATGTTTTGGTATTAACAATTCTAACATTCAAAGCAGTTCTCGGAGGTGATTCAAATACAGTTATAGGAGAACACCTATTTTGTAGATTGAAGTGGGAGGAATTGACATTCTTTAAAACCTATTTCCTTCTGCTCTAAATAAAACCCAATTGAACAGAAAGGCAAGGCGATTTCTTCAAATTTCATTTTTGCTATTTTTTCTTTACAAATGGGAAGATTGCTCTGGTCCTTGTGTGATCACGCTGCTGCTCATGGTTTGCAGTACTTTCCCCTGGCCTTTCATTTTGCCTGGGAAGCAAGAATTCTGACCTCGGTCCCATCGTTTCCTGTTCAGATGGAGCCAGACAGCATTCTGACAAAAAGGTGTGGCAGACAGAGATGAGAACTTTGGTTTTTAAATCTGATGACAAGACATAGCACGGACATTAAAGAACTTAATGAGTTTTTTTTTAATTGAGAAAAACATCTACATTTCATTCAACTGACCAGTTGGAGCCTGTTTTGAGGATGCTCTGTCTCTAAAGTAGCTATTTAGATTTTATTGACCCCTTGGAAATGTCCACAATTGAAAAAGTAGTAGTTTCAAGCCTATCACAAAATCTCTGGGAAGCACATTGATGATCATTATGCTCTAGAAATAGCTTAAAATAATCCTCTTGTATTAGCCTAGTAAATACATAATAACAAGAACTCCATAAAAGCCAATTCAGAATACAGAATAACAGAGTTGGAAGGGAGCTTAATATATAATTACTTTTCCTGTTCTATAAAAAGGAATGACTGTAGGTTTGTTAAGATGGAGGTACCAAATGCAGTAAGGATTGTGTGATATACAACAACCCCAGTTTGGAATTATAAGTAGGCAGAAGCTATTTTTTTCCACCTTACATTCAATTTGTCCGATTCTCTGAGACTGCCTGGACAAGTCCCTATGCAGTTTTCTTAGCATGGTTTTTCAGAAGTGGTTTGCCATTGCCTCCTTCCTAGGTCTGAGAGACTATGACTGGCCCAGTTATTCGGGTGGCTTTGTACCTAAGGTTGGACTAGACCAGGGCTTTTCAACCTTTTCACCCATTGTACCACTTTTAGGATATGGCAATATCCGAGTACCACCAGTCGCCTAGCACAAGGCTTTTCAACCAGTGGTACGGGTACCACCTGTGGTACATGGGCACCTGGCAGGTGGTACGCGACCATCCTAGAAAAGTGGTAGCGGGGGAGGGGAATGAGCTGAACCGGTGGCAGAACCGCACAAGCCTGAGCAAGAGATGGCTGGAGCTGCAGGGCTGGCAGGGCTCAGCGGAAGCGCCAGGATCAGTGCTTCTTCGGGACTATCAGGGCTCAGCTGGAGCTCGGCACTGATCCTGGCGCTTCTGCTAAGCCCAGAAGAAGCGCCGATCAGCTGGAATGTTGCAGCATCTCCAGGGTCTTGTGGTTTACATTCAGATGCTTGGCAACTGATTCATATTTATGACGGTCACAGTGTCCCAGGGTCATGTGAAGTGACCAAAACCTGCTGCAACCACCCAGCAGACGGGGGGAATAAAAACCAAACACCCCCCACCCCACCCCCGCTGCCAATCCTCAACAGAAATGCTCACAACAATGAAAACCTCGGACAGGAGGAAGAGTGCCGCCGGGCGGGCAGGCAGGTGTCTTGCTCGGCTGTGGCTTGGGGGCACTTTTTTCAGTGCCGTTGTAACTTCGAACAGTCACTAAGCAAACTGTTGTAAGTCGAGGACTACCTGTACTTCATCACTTTTTTCCTTTTTTTTTTTTGGGTGATCAAGTTTTTGACACCTTGCTAGGCGACTGGTGGTACTCGGATATTGCCATATC